AAATAGGTAAAATCAAATACAGCTGAATCTTCCTACCCTGGCTTGCTGAAATCCTTTGGAAGATTTTGTGGATAATGATTCTAAACTCATCTAAAATGTTTATCCTAGGCTCCAAAGCTTGCATTTAAGCCCAAAGTAGAGTCAAGTTCACTGCCTACTGTGAAAGGATTAAGGGATAATGTCATTTCCATTGCTCCCTCCTTGTTCTTGGCTACAAAAAGCAGAAAAATATACACATTTATCCTGCAGTTTCATGATTAAGAAGCACTGCAGCTGGTGGATATTACTAATGAAAACATGCATTTACTTTGGAATCTAGGTATTGAATACAAGGCTTTCTAGTCCAGTGGTTCTCAGAGTGTGGTTCCTGGGCAGTAACATTACTTGGGAACTTCCTGGAAATTCAAATTCTTAGGCCCCACAGCCAATGCACTGAATTGGTAATTCTGGGGGTGGGGCCCAGAATTCCATGTTTTATAAACTGTCTTGGTGATTTTCATGCATACTAAAGTCTGAGAACCACTTTCTTTGGAAGAACAACTAAACCACACCAATCAAAGGAGAATCTACTTCTGAGAAGGGAAGAGAAAGATGTGCCTCCTTAAGAACACATTTCAGAGTATTAGAGTTCTCCCTAGAACTCTCATGTAGCATAAACTTACTTCTCATGTAGCATAAACTCATTTCTTCTTCTGCAGAGGGGATATAGGACTTTCTGTTACTATGAGCAAATATACAACTTTTCCTGGGACCATTAGACATCAAGTACTCTTCTATTTTCTCCTTGGGCTAAATAATCCTAGTTCCTTTCACCTTTATTTATAACCACTTATCACTTAAAACTCTTCATCATCCTTCTCAAACTCCAGGAAAAAGTAAAACCTCATTTTACCATTCAAGTGGATTAAAACACATTTTCTGTCATTGAACCATAGAAAATAATGCCACAAAACCTAGGTTTCTATTCTACCTACATTTTAAAGTAGAAGATGTACTTCTAAAAAAGAAATCAAATTTTAGGTCCATCATTTCAAGATATTCTGATGCCTCCCCCTCACTCTATTCTTCCTAAAAAAAAAAAAAAAAAAAAAAAAAGTTTTAGTTCATTGTAAGGTCACTAAGTATTTCACATATATTACATTAAACATTCTGATCCTCATTTGCCCTATTAAATAAGAATTGACCAGATGGATATTCCTCTGACTCTCTCTCCTGAGCAGGTTTTAGTTAATTAAAAATGATTATTTTTACTACATATTTTATATATTGGCCAGATGTTACCTGTGGTCATTTCTGGAAAGGATCATTTGGTGGTGGTTATAAAATATATATTTTCCTTTGGGAAGCAAGCCTCTTGAGCACGATCAGGAAAACAAATGTAGAAATTGATTTCACCTCATACCTTTTTCTTAGTGCCAAAATGGGCATAATGTTTCATTTCCTTTGAAAGTACGATCTATGCAAATTCTTTCTTCTATCTCCACTCTGGCCCTATTTATGTTGGGTCAAAAAATTATCAGGTTAGTAGAAGAAAAATTAATATTGGTTTCTGTCTGTACTGGAAGTGTAAGTTATTTTTTCCAAAGAAACTGATTTGGTTTCTATAGATTTGGTTTATGTAAGACATCTATATATGGCATAGCAAACTGTTCTGCTCCATCAGGACAGAGACTGTTAGATCTCTGTGTATAGAAGATGGGACTTTCAGATAGTATTTCCAACAGTTCTGGATTTTCTACAGGTCTCCTTAGAAGCTATTTTTCATGCAAACTCATTTGCCTAAATTTCCCGTTAGTGCTGAAATAATCTAGAATGAGGCAGAGATACTGTAATTATGAGATTGTTTTGTGATTGCACTAGTCATTTTCTCCCCATTTGTAGACAAACCAGAATCAAAACAAGCCCCTCTCTTTTTTGTCCTTAAAAAATAATAATAAACACAATAAAGCAACATTCAACTGTTTGTTTTTTTTTTTCAACTTTCTTTTTTAGAAAAAATTTCAGTGCTTGAGGTCACCCAAAGTTCAGAAAGCCTACTGGATGAAATTTACCACACCATCATTTGGGCTAAATGTAGATGGCTGGTCTTCTCAAAAACACCATTTAGAAGATTATTAAGAGTCAAAAGTGAGTCTTTTTAAAGTCTGAATTTCACACACTGACAAAATATGTTAGGTGTGGCAGGGTGTATAAACAAGAAAGAAACTTTCAATTCCAATGCCCTGGCTATGTTTTATAAAATATTTCATGGCACAATATAGACCTAAGGGGGCACCTGGGGGCTCAGTCAGTTGAGTGTCTGACTCTTGATTTCAGCTCCTATCAAGATCCAAGGGTCATGGGATCCAGCCCACCATGGGCATGGAGCCTACTTAAGACTTTCTTTCTCTCCCTCTCTCTCTCTTTCTCTTTCTCTCTCTCTCTCTCTCTCTCTCTCTCTCTCCCTCTGTTCCTCTCTCCAACTTACAAGTTCTCTCTCTCAAAAAAAAA